CCCAGGGCATAGATCGTGTACGTTCTTGATAATCGTAATGAAAACTTCGGGTGATAGACGATTGGGCCCAACTGGTGTGGACGATCGGACCCAAGATATTTTCAAATAAATTGTAGTCCTAATAGCAGGCCACTGCCAGCACCCCCACTTCCGATATCGCTGTCTCTTATACACATCTTTTGGCTCTCATTGATAGACAATTCTAGCTTCCCGAATGCGGGTTTGCAAATCGAACATGTCTTCCATTATGGACAATTGGGGCGATATCCTCGTTGGTGTTCATGTCGTTGTGATGGTCGGCTATATCGTTCGTTCCTTACATAATAACGGCCAGGCGAACTTTGTCTATGGCTAGGTTGGAAACGATCGTAGGAATTTTGACGTGGTGATGTTGCCCTAAAACCAGTTCGATACTGGTCGTGTAGTTGCCGTTCAGCGTCCAAATGTGACGAATAATAGGACTGGGCGATCGTGGTCGTTTTTTTTTTTTTTATTTATTTCATTCTGGTTTATTCACCTTCATGTCGTTAATTTCAAGTTGTAGTTCCTCTAATTTGTTAAGAACAGTCTGTAACGCTTGTTATTAGGTATTATCAGAAGGGCTGGTCATAGCTACTGGCAATGAACGTACAAGCAACTTTGAGGCATGATTTGCCCTCTCAATTTGGGAAGTCGCCTTTACAGCATCTGTAATGTTTTTCACTCCATGTTCATATACCTTTTGAATTAGGGTCGGCTCAATCCCCGCTATGCATCTTCGAAACATCTGTTGTTCGATAATTTGCTCAGTATATGTGGGGTACGCATCCCTTAAGGCGTGTTAGTTCTGCAACGTAAACCTCTAAAGGTTCGTTAAGACCTATATAAGTAGCTTACAGTTGATGTTTTTTTACATATTATTGTACTGTCCTTGCTAGAGTAATTTTAACTGTGGAAAAGCAGTCATGGAAACCCTATTGTCAGTTTAACTTGTACAGAAATGCTTAAAGTTTGTTTTATTTTCTATTTACATTTTAAATATTAATTTTCTTTGATTTCTGTTTAAAGCATTTTAATAGCAATGATTATCATTGTGGGATTCAGGACAGGATTCAAATTAGGCGAAGTTTAGACATACAAATCCAGAGAGTTTATCTTGAAATGTTATATGTATGGCCCCTCTAAATGTCATTGTCCGAGTTAATTAATGAAATTTTTTATTTATTCGTAACTTATGGACCCCAATTTGAAATAAGTTTCTCAACTTTATGGGTTATCCAAGGCATCTTTTTTCCCCTATTTTCCTTTGTTATTCATTTATCCAGGTCTTTTTTAATGACATTTTATTGCCTTTGTATTCCTCTCTTTTGTTATGTTGTAAATTGGAATTTTGTGTGATGCTGAATAAAACAAAACAAAACAAAAATCATTGGAAAATAGTGGTAGCCAAAATTTGGGTCGCGACTCAGGTTGGGAAGCATCGTTATGAATGATCGTTATTACGTATGCTAATTATTTGTTATGGCACATTTTTTGTAAATTAATATTAGTTAATAATTGGCCTATATAATATTTTTTATGTTGGTTTCATTGGTTAATGTGGTTTGAATTATGATTCACACCGTTTTATTATTTCTTTGCTCTAATTTATCGGTTTATATATTTTAACGTCGTATGCCTACTATTTGTTCGTAATTGTATTAACATCTTGTGTGTATAATATTAAACAATAAAATACCCCACACAAATTTATTCTTGTGTATTGTTTTGATAAACTTCATTTTAATTTTACTATAATTATTGTTAATAAGAAATGGCGTATCTGTACGCTTTCGATTTATTACCGTAGACCTTGCATAATCGGAATACATACCTGTATATTTTGTGATTTTGCACATTACTGAAAATTTTTGATAACTATATTCATAAAAGTAAGCCATCTGAATCCAATACCTAGGCCTATACACCTATATCAAATCTGGCTTGAATGTGCGCCCTGAACAGTTTTTAGGAATACATCAGCCTATCTGTATGTTTAGTAATTTTGCATACACATACTGTGGATAAATATGTCTAAAAGTTCATTCACAATGTTCGGATCGAAAAGCCTACCGAACGATCAGAAAAGCGGATCAATGTGTAAGAATAGGGACGGAGGCGTTCAAACGAGGTCCGAATGTCAGTTCGGACCCATTGTGAATGTATAGCTTTAGTCTACGAAAGCCTTACTCAAAACGGCCACGTAAATACACATGAAATTTACTAAATTCAGGCACGCCTCCCCTACTCGCCCCTTCAGTCGCCTCCCTCTGTCGCGCCCCTGAAAATGTTCGAAGCAAGAAAAAAATTAATAAATTAAAAAAATCACGCTGAGGTAGATCAAAATAACCTCATATAAACTTATTTTGCGAGGTAGCGCCCCTTACTTAATTATCGAACCCCCGCCCTCACCCACTTCCCCATCGCGCTTACAACATCGTCCGCCCCACTTACCCCACCTGCCCATTTTAAGACTCCTAGATACGTCAATAGGCCTGAGTGATTTCCTCCTGATCATTTTGCCCCGGCTCGTTTCATCCCATATAGTTTGGCTCTATCAAAGATTAAAATCTGGCAATCTTTTGCACTACTGTTTTCCCGTGCATCACTAATGCGTAAATAGATAATGTTATGCTTTTTCTTTTTTTTATTTTAACAGTTTGTATTAAACAACTATATTATTTAGTCATGATGTTTTTTTTTTATTCTTAAAATTCCATTTCATGTTTTTAAAACCTCGATTTATTCGTGATAATAAAATTTTAATCGTCATTCATAAAAATAGGGTAAATAAAGCAATACACGTATAAAACGTATTTATTTATTATAAATTGGAACCTAAAATGTGTCGTAAATATCTATGCATACCTCCTTCTCTATAGCATATTCTTATTTAAAACTCTGTACATGACAATCATTTTAATGAAGCCTCGCTTCCTACGTCTTTCCTAATTAATATTTTAATTGATGTCTGCCTATTTTCCAGGATAAAATGGATTATCACCATTATCAACCGGCAATTGCTGGATATATTACATCTACCAATAACTCTTATACGGTTATCGAGGACGAAAATCACTTACATATTGGTCCGACCTTAACGTCATCAAGTCTCCATCAAAATGAGTCTATCCAGAATGGAGCGGACGTGCACAGTGACAGTAACAAAACACAACACATTTTATTTACCGACCCTAAACATTGTGCTTTCAATATTGAAAATCAACAAAACTCGTCCAATTTATGCGACAAGATCCACGTAATAATTCAAGCCCGTGACCAGTTAAAGACAAATAAGAAAATAGGAGGTGATTATTTTCGCGCTAAAATTTACAATACAAAATTAAAAGCGAGTGCGCCTACGGATGGTGAAGTAATTGATCACAACAATGGCTCATATAGCGCATATTTTACAGTAAGATGGCGTGGTTCTACGTTTATTAATGTCCAACTGGTACACAGTAGCGAGGCAGTTGCAGCTATGAAGCGTGTACGTGAAGCCAATCCGATTCGAATGGTATACAATGGGATATTTCAACAGAAGAAAGCAAAAGTCAATGGACAATGTCATGTGCAACTTTCGTCTGCTAATGAACTTTGCAACTTCACTGACAAGTTAACTGGAGAGCCATGGTTTTGTATAAAGCCGAAAAATTTGCCTTGCTCTACATACACTTTGCATTCGGTCAATAAAAAATTAGGAGGTAGACTGACAGCAGCAATGTTCACTCGGAACGAGACACATTTATTCAGGTAAGTTTGGAATTTCCCACAATTTCTACAAAAAATTTAGTTTTCCTTTCAATCCCATTCTCAGTTTCAACATGAAAACAACTAAAACAAAATATGACATTCGCCTTTTGTAGGTAGATCAATGCAAGGCAGTTGATAAAATATTATTTTTGACTGATGTGTTGACGAGAGTGATAGAACAGAATAGGTATTTATTTAATAATTTATATTCAGTGTTATATATTATTTTGAGTAAATCATGTTATAATGTAAGAATTTAAAGTTTGTTACCGTACTTTTTTATGTATAATTTTTATTTATCTATTTTTAATTATTTAATTTATTTATATTTCTAAATATTTTCTTAATTGTTTTATTTATTTATTATTTCATTAGGGCACTACAATTCTAAATGTATTTATATTACTATTAAATAATTAGTTTCATACTCTCATTTGTCTTGTTTTACTGTGTGTACAGTATTGAGGGTCACTAATGATCAGCTTCGGTTGGATGGACAACACTTATTAAAGATTTGTTGATTGAAATAAATAAATAAAAATAATGGTTCAGGTACTACGTCTAAATAGCTAACTTTTTTCAATACCTCTACTATTCAGCGCACACACACTAGCGACCATCAGTTTAGCCGTCACGTAGTTGTAATTATTGTTCTTGTTAACATCTTTAATTATCTGCTAGTAGGAAGAATTTGTCAGCTGTTGATCTGTTTTTGTGACTTCCAATATTTTAAAAAGAAACTTATTTATTATCAGAATTTTCATGATCCAAACATGATCATATTGACACAAAAACTATTTTCTTATTTACAGTGATATAAAAAGAAGCATCGAGATGTGTATAAGAGACAGCGCTGAAATTGCAATATATGAAATGAAAGCCAACGTTAATAATAATTCACCTAGGAAGGTATTTTTGTTTAGGAAGGCAGACAATGTCAAATCATGTAAGGAATTGCATCTTTTCCAGACTAAATTTAGCCAGTTTAGGTAACTGTAATGTCAATAACAGCTGGTTCAAATTTAAAAATAAGATACTAGAAATAACAAGCAAACATGTTCCAACCATCAAGCAAATAGGCAAAAAATGTAGTGTCCCATGGATAAACCATAAAATAAAGAAACTGATGAGACCCAGAAGGAAACAATATAGTAAAAAACAACAAAAACCCCGATGCGTGGGGAAAATACAGTAAAACCCCAAAAAACAATAAAAATAGAAATTAAAAAAGCATATGTGTTAGCTTATTTGAAGGGACGGAAAATGGAGGAGCAGCCAAAAAATGTATTCCTTTATAAAAGGCTTACGAAAGGATAAGATAGGGGCTTCACCTCTTCAATCAGATGGTAAAATAGTAAATGATGGAAAAGAAAAGGCACAAACATGATTAAATCCGTTTCAGAATGTCTTTACAAATGAGGACATAAAATAAAGAAACTGATGAGACCCAGAAGGAAACAATATAGCAAAAAAAAAAAAAAAAAAACCCCGATGCGTGGGGAAAATACAGTAAAACCCCAAAAACAATAAAAATAGAAATTAAAAAAGCATATGTGTTAAGCATATTTGAAGGGACGGAAAATGGTGGAGCAGCCAAAAAACTGTATTCGTTTATAAAAGGCTTACGAAGGGTTAAGATAGGGGGTTCACCTCTTCAATCGGATGGTAAGATAGTAAATGATAAAAAAAAAAAAGAAAGAAAAGGCACAAACATGATCAAATCCGTTTCAGAATGTCTTTATAAAATGAGGACATATCAACCATTACAGACAAAGGTCGAAGTCCCTATCCGAATATGCACGAAATACAAAATTAATAGTGAGGGCATACATAATCTGCTTAGCAAACTTGATCCTAAAAAAAATCAATTGGTCCAGATGGAAATTCAACACAAATATTAAAAGACCATGCTGATATATTGACACCCATACTGACTTATTTATACCAGCAATATCTAGATAGTAGTGGTAAAGTGCCAGGTGACTGGAAGAACGCAAATGTAACGGCCATATTTGAAAACTACAGGGATATAATGGATCATCCAGATGAACATAGCATATTATATGTATATATAATATACATCAACCAGCATGGTTTTAGGCATGGACATAGTTGTGAATCTCAACTGATAAATACAATAGAATTACTAACTAAAAATATGGATTCAAAAAATGTTACACATTGTATTGTTCTCGATTTTTCAAAGGCATTTGACACAGTTTCCAGTCAATAAATCTTTTATAATTATTAACACCTATAATATTTGCAAATCGATGACGCACACTGACGCATGTAACCTAGTTAGGTCTTCTGGCAGTATAGATTCAGATTCAAATATACATACATATACGCACACACACACACACACACACACACACATATATATATCTGTCTCTTATACACANATATATAATTATTTTTACAGATAAGGACACAATATGTGTAGAGTCAACAACAGAATGTCGGCCGGTTACGAATTCAGCCAAACCTGAAAAGAAAATTGCCGCAGGTTACTACTTCCAAGATAAATGGTACTCTAACGACTGTACTCTAAAGAACATCAGCGTCCAATCAGCTTTAACGTCTAAATTGTTGACTAATAAACGTTTCTACTTCTACGGAGACTCAACGTTGCGACAGTGGTTTGAGTACTTTGCTGCGAGTATCAGTGATGCATCCATTGTTCAAGCTGCCCCTGGAGCAACTTTAAAAACTGGGCCTTTAAGAGCAACATCAAAAAAATATAACTTGACATTTATGTACCGACATCACGCATTTCCAATCCGTACAACACCAATATTTGTGAAGAATGTTGCGTATGCAGCAAACGAGATTGACAACATATCCGCAGATGAAAACACTATAATCTGCCTTTGTTTTTTCGCACATTTTACACCAACGGAATTACACGTTTACCGGAGGCGTTTAGAAACGACTAAGGCGTCACTTTTACGATTGTACAAAAGGAGTCCCGAAACTCTAGTTTTCCTCAAAACTCCAAACACAAACACATACGCTGGTGCTGTAACTTCAGTAGATTATGGCGACTGGGTTTCATTAATGTTGGACAAAGAACTGAGGAAGGTGATGGCCGAGATTCCAAATCTTACAATTATTGATGTTTGGGACATGACAACCAACCATAGATTAGGCGAAAACCTCCACCCTCCCCGGCCTATAATTCAACAGGAGATCCAATTGATGTTATCACTTATTTTTGCTTGATTTTTTTCACCAAATCATTGTATAGTTATTAATTTATTTACTTACTTTTACGTTTATATCGAAATCAATTTATACATTTCGTCCTAAAAGAAAACAACAGCGAGACATATATTTTAATAACCTACTGCATAGCTCAAAATGCTATACCTCCGAGAGAACATTGTTGATTCCTGTAGTAGTTATTTAACAGTTTATACTACGATGGTTTTACTCATATGTTTCCTCATATTAGAAAAAACAACTATACAACCAATCGATTTCCTTAGAAATTTACAGCCGTCTAATAAACGTCACGTGATCAGTGGCGTCGAGAGCCAGTAAGGGCCCAGGGGCAACACCTCACATGGGGCCCCCTTCTTGGGAACTCCATTCGGCCGCTCCCCAAATTAAGTCTCCTCCTAAATCTGACAACAACATTTTTCATCCTGGCTTGGGCCCTATGGAGATTTTGTTCTCACCCGGAAAATGTTTCATCTTGGTCCGGGCCCCCAGTAGACCCTGGCCCCAGGTCTGGACCAATTGATATTTTTAGGATTAAGTTTGCTAAGTAGATTATGTATTCCCTCACTATTAATTTTGTATTTCGTGCATATTCAGATAGGGACTTCGACCTTTGTCTGGAATGGTTGATATGTCCTCATTTTTAAAGACATTCTGAAACGGATTTGATCATGTTTGTGCCTTTTCTTTTCCATCATTTACTATTTTACCATCTGATTGAAGAGGTGAACCCCCTATCTTATCCCTTTGTAAGCCTTTTATAAACGAATACAGTTTTTTGGCTGCTCCGCCATTTCCGTCCCTTCAAATAAGCTTGACACATATGCTTTTTAAATTTCTATTTATTGTTTTTTGGGTTTTAACTGTATTTTCCCCACACATCGGGGGTTTTTGTTGTTTTTGCTATATTGTTTCCTTCTGGGTCTCATCAGTTTCTTTATTTTATGGCTTATCCATGGGACACTAAATTTTTTGCCTATTTGCTTGATGGTTGGAACATGTTTCCTTGTTATTTCTAGTATCTTATTTTTAAATTTTAACCAGTTGTTATTGACATTACAGTTACCTGAACTGGCTAAAAACTTAGTCTGGAAAAGATGTAATTTCTTACATGATTTGACATTGTCTGCCTTCCTAAACAAAAATACCTTCCTAGGTGAATACCTTCCTTTCATTTCATATACTGCACTTACAGCGTCATGCTTACACCTGAATGGGTTTTGACGTCTATATAT